ACAAAAATATAACAATGAAGTACTTTAGTGAATAAACAAACTTTACTTTCCAAAATTGAATTTTTTCATTGAAACTCAAAGAATTTTTTCTTTCTTTTGATTAACCTCCAACTAGAACATTTGAACATTGAACAATTTTTTTCCTTTTGCTCATTTTTTTTCTTTTTCTTTTTTTTTTTTTTTTTTTTGAAGCTCCACAATTAGTCATCTGGTTGGGTCTACTCTCTACAACACCGGCCTTCTTAATAGCTATCCTAGTGATAAAGCCACCTAGACGGATGGGGTACTAGAGATGTTGCTAGTTGTGGCATGCCTAGCTAAGTGATGGATGCTATACCTATCTATGTTAAGCTTCCCGAACCCATACACATAATGGCCAATAACAGCAAGTTCATTGGTCTGACAGTTTTAGGGCTCGTTCCTACCTAAAAAGCAAACACCCGCAAATCTTTGCCATATTTTGGGAACGAGGTGATGGATTGGTTTAGCACTAGCATGTTGGGCATTAGGTGCCGGCAAACCAGTCAAAGCATTATAAATATCATCCATTTTATATTCAGCATGCCATTGGTGAGGCAAATCAGGCTCCAAATCAAATAATTTACAAAAATCAACAAAAGTTAAAGTAATATTTCTATTATTTAACCTAAATATCAATTTTGGCCCAATTTTATGGTTATAAACGTGCAAAGAAGAAAGAAATTCACTGGTTAATTCAGGATAAGTGGCATAATGCATATCAACAAATTTCCTCATACCAATATCGTTCAAAAATCTCTTAACATAGTCATATAATCCCAATGCTTCTAGAGTAGGGCGGTGTAACCACCGTGAAGGAATTAACTCTCGCCCGTGGAGCTGCTCAAGCTTTTCCTTTTGTTCCGGGGTTGCTATGTTGATCGTCGGCCATTGTGGTAGTTGCAACACTGGGTCGTATTGTTGGCTTGAGCTTCCCCCTAGAATTTTTCTTGCCCTCTTTGCCGCCATTTTTGAGAATGGGTATAAAAATTATTTGAGTGGAACTTGAAGATTTTTATGTAAGATTGTAGAGGATGAAGAGAGGAGAAGGAATATGTAAAAAATTTTGAATTTGGGTAAGAGATGGAGAAGAAAACGTAGAGAGAAGGTAGAGAAAAATAGAGTTTTAGTGAGAGAAAGTATAGAGTAAAGAGAAAGAATGAAGAAAGAAAGAAAGAAAGAAAGAAGAAGAAGAAGAAAGACGCGGAGTAGGGGTCGCACCTGGTCAGGCGAACCTTCGCCCGGTCGGGTGATCTGGGCTTTTAAACGATGAGTCGTTCTCTCGCCCGGTCGGGCGAGCTTCGCCTCATCGGGCGATTGGTTACCCCGAAATTGCTCACTCTCTCGCGCCCGGTCGGGCGGAAAAATTGTCCGTATACGTCAACTTTCGCGCCTGGTCGGGCGAAAATTACAAATTTTGAACCCTTGCTCTCGCGCCCGGTCGGGCGAGCTTCGCCCCATCGGGCCCGAGGCTAACTTGGACGATTTTTTGTCTTTCTTCTTTTCTTCGATTTTTTGGCTAACTCTTTTCCTTCAAACATGTACAAAAACTCATAAAAATCATTAAATTCCCTCCTCTCTCCTCTCACAAGAAAAAGAAAGAAAAACTTGTCTAAAAAGCATTAAAGTACGGGTTGCCTCCCGTAAAGCGCTGGTTTATCTAGGTCCCGCATGACCTTCTTACCAAGTATAAGAACTAGGACCCTTGACCTAACGCTTGGTCGGGTGGTTTCTCACCCGATCGAGCGATGTTTAAGCCACGACGCTGCTTCTTGACATACCCTGTGGGACGCTAATTCACCTTATCTAGTGGATCCTCCTTGACTTGTATTGGGGGTTCTTCAATGATACGCACTAAAGATCCCTCTTCGATCCATGGTTGCTTCAAATTGTCACTACATTTAGCACTTGCAACTCGATCTGGGGGAACACTTATTGTAGGCTCAATTTCCATAGCTTGCTTGTTTAATTCCACCTTCTCATCCTCAAAGCCAAGACCGACAGTGTAGAGGGCTCTTTCTATTGCATCAACTTCCTTTTTCCATTTGTCTATTTCATCTGCAAAGGATGCAACACAGGATACCGCCTCCAAGGGATCTTTTACTAGAGCTTGGGGCTTGTTAGAATAATTTTGAACCACATCAACACTAAAATACTTCTCCTTTGTTATGGGGCTTTTAGGGGTATTATTAAGATTAAAAATAATTTTATCATCCCCTACTGATAGTGTTAATTTGCCACATCTCACATCTATAATTGCTCCTGCAGTGTTAAGGAATGGTCTACCCAAAATAATTGGGGTTTGTGTATCCTCAGCCATATCAAGAACAACAAAATCAACAGGTATATAAAATTTACCTACTCTAACAGGAACATCCTCTAAAACACCTAAGGGGTATTTAAAAGAACGATCGGCCATTAGTAGTGTAATATTAGTAGCTTTTAATTTACCCATATTTAACTTGGAACCCACATACAATGGCAAAACACTAACGCTAGCGCCCAAATCACATAATGCATTATCAATCATTAGATTGCCAATATGACAAGGGATAGAAAAACTACCCGGATCTTTCAGTTTAGGTGGAGATTTATTTTAAAGTACGGCACTACATTCTGCAGTGAAAGCTACTATCTTTACCTCACTAATAGACCTTTTTCTTGTCAATATTTTCTTCATGATTTTTGCATAAGCAGGAATTTGCGTTATTAATTCAGTGAAGAGGACTGTTACCTGCAAATCCTTAACCATCTCTAGAAACTTACCAAACTTCTTATCCAAATTTGTTTTCAAGTGACGATTTGGGAATGGAAGTTTGATAACTAGCTTTGGAATATTACTGCTCTTATCTGGAGCTGCTACCTTCCCTGGAGTCGTACCCTGCAATGTAAAATCAGATATATTAGTATTATTCTTTAGCCCTGCGCGGCTATTAGCTACATTGTAAGGTTTAATGGAATCAAGATTAGCATTATTTAGTAAAACAGGTTCATCATCTATGGGCATAGGGGGCCCTTCATAGTGTGAACCACTCCTTAGAGTAATTGCATAGGCTTGATCCATAGGCCTGGTCGGCTGTGCTGGCAGGGCTCCCTGTTGACGGGCTTGCAGAGTAACAGAAATTTGCGCAATTTGATTATCTACAATTTTATTATATGCTAGGATCGAATCAATTTGAGCGTCTCTACTCTCCATGTGCTTCTGCATATTAGCCAGCATCGCTCTAATTTCTACGAGAGCAGGGCCGAAAGATGAGGAGGGTTGTTGTGGTTAGTTCTTCTGGCCAACATTGGGGTGGTAATATTTCTAATGATTTTGTTGTGGCGCTTGTGATTCTTATGGAGGTGGTGGATTTTGAACATTGGTGCTCTGGTAGGAAAGGTACGGATGATTCCGGTACCCAGGATTGTAGGTGTTGGAGTATGGGTTATTTTGCCTATAAGCTTGAAAGGCATTAACTTGCTCCACGGAACTCCTGCAATCTTGCTCCCAATGACCTAAAATTCCACAATTTTCACAGAAAGCCTCATTAGCAGTATTATTAATTGCATAAACATTAGCTACATTTGCAGTACTAAGATTATCTAGTTTCTGGCAAACATTAGCTTGTAAAAAGGATACAAAGTCGACACTATGTTTCCCTTTATTAGCAAAGCCTCTGGGATTCCCATATTGGGAATTATGTATTGCCATATCTTCAATAACTTGATCTGCATCATCAACATTAAGGTTCATAAACCTCCCACTAGATGTAGAATCCAATATTATTCTGGATGAATTTCCAATCCCATTATAAAAGGCTTGGATCAACTGTCGTTGTGCCAAATTATGGTGGGGGCATTCTCTTTGTAGATCCTTGAACCTCTCCCAAGCCACATATAAAGTCTCATCGGCCTCTTGGGCAAAGTTCTGAATAGCACTCCGTAGTACATCTGTTCTCTCTGCAGGATAATATTTGTTATAAAAATTCAAAACAAGAGTTTCCCCGTCAGTTATACCAAGTGCAGTTCTATTTAATCCATTAAACCATAATTTGGCTTTTCCACTTAAAGAGAAAGGAAAGGTAATCTCCCTGATTTGGTCTTGTGTGACCCCAGCTTGCCTGATGGTATTACAGTACTGACAGTAGTCTGCAATATGAAGATTTGGGTCTTCACCTTAGCTCCACTAAATTGCTTCCTTTCTATCATCTTTATAAATTGGCGTTTAATCTCAAACTGTACCCCATCAAGAGTTGGAGTGGGAGTAAGGTGCGGAAAATCTGTAAGCATTGGCTGTGAATAATCACTGAGCTTGTTAGATCACTACAAGAAAAAGGGTAATTAGCAACGGCCAAAGTAGTCGCAAATCCGTCGCAACCGTCGCAAAAATGGATTAGCGACTACTTTGGTTCGTTGCCAAAGACCTCGTCGCAAATCCATTTTTGCGACTAATTTTTGGACAGTCGCAAATTTAGCGACGGATTTGCAACGCCTTTGCAACTACCATTTAGCAACTAACTTTCAAATTTTAGCAACTAAATTATTGTCCGTCGTAAAATATTTGCGACGGATTAGCAACTACTTAGACCAATGTTTTAGGACTACTTTTTCGACGGATTAGCGACTACAAGACAAAACTTTTGCGACTACGAGACTAAACTTTTGCGACTACGGAGACTAGTTTAATTGCGATGGATTTGCGACTACTGAGACTAATGTTTTTTGCGACGGATTAGCAACTACTTACGAAACAAATTTTTGCGACTACAAAACTAATTATTTGTAACAAATTAGCGACTACTGAGACTAATGATTTTGCAACTAACGAATCAGTCTCTAAACCAAATTTGCAGTCGCTAAATATTTGCGACTGACGATCAATATTTGAGACCATAATTTAGCGACATATCAATCACAAAAAAAAGGTACCCACGCATAAATTCAAATAACCAAAATGTTAATTTTATTCAAGTATCCAAAATATAATCAATTTTGTATCAATGTATTAAAAAACAATATTTAACTCATATGACTAATTGTTCCAAAAGTCACCTCCCATATAAAAAAAGCTGCTTCAAATAAGAACTAATGACAATGTAAAAGACCAGTTGTTCATAAAATTACCACCAATAAAATAAAAATCACTTAGTTGTATCACGAGAGCAGGTGACTGCAGGCGTAGGAGGCTTATAAGGACGGTAAAATTGTTTTACAAGTGATGCTATTTTCTGCAATGTTTTTTGCATAGCTAATTTTTCCTTCTTCCATGTAGCTTTTTCGATCTCATGATTTTCGACGAATTCCTGAGCACATTTTAAGCTCTCTGCCGCTATTTTTTAGCTTTCTTCCACCTTGTTATGGTTTTCTTCCGCCATCTTCTTTAGTTCTTCAACTTGAGAACTTAATTGAGAAATCATGGAAGGAGTGGAAGATGATGCAGTAGATTGAGAAGTAGGATCGCTCTTGTAATACATTTGTGAAGCACTCCCTAAACCGTAGACTTTTCCTTTCTTTTGCCCACCTACAACCTCCAAGTAGACTTTGTCGGGGTTTATCTCAATTCCTTTGTTCTTATATTCCTCAAGTTTTTCCATATATTCTCTCTGCATTAAGATATGTATTAGTAACTATGATCTCAAATGTTAAAACTTAAATAAACTAAATACATTTAAATAAAAACAACTATAATAAAAATACAAGCAATGACTTGGGATATCGTCCGAGCCTAAAACTAGTTTGGACTTCTAAAACACAATTTAATTTAATTTGAGGGTGGGTGGTGATGGTTTGGAAATTCCTGAATGTGAGGATTAGGGGTAAAAGTGTCATTTTACCTCTTAATAGATGTTCCAGATTACAAAGGTACAACTATCGGGGAACAGAGGACCAAGGGTATTTTTATTATCGTTGTTTTTTTTTTAAAATAAAAGATGCAACACTTATAGCAAAATAATTTATGTAAGCAGTTATTAGTAAAAATTTCGACAGAGTCTCCTTTGTAAATTGAAGAATTCCCTCCTATAGGGTATGGCTTCAAAATAAACCTGTTTCAATTCACATTATGCCATACCACATTAATCATATGATTAATGCCGACAAATCATTCTCATCCTCCAACTCAATCACACAAACAAATAAACAATCCATAATATCTCCAAACATTAACTACCATAAATTTTTTTGTAATCTTAGAAAAATATATAAGTATACTCATACCATGAATTTTTTAGACTTGTCACCCATCAATTCAACTTCATCATTGCCCACACAAACAGAATGAGTGCTCTCATAGACATCAGCAGCAGTTGGTAAAATTCCATCCTTTTTCTTTGCCTTGTATTAGAAGAAGTTGTTAGCACTTACAGAAAAACAACCAAAAAAATAGGAAGACATAGACTATAGAGCAATTGTAATAAAAACCAGTTTAGTCATCTATATTAGTGGCTAAAAAGTTTCTACTTGCTTCTATCTTATATTAAAAATCATAAGTTTGTTGCTAAAATCATACACTTACCATTTTTTTAACCACTTGAGGAGTAGATACGCTACCTTGGCGATGGCCAGGGTCAAACTTCTCTAATGTTTGGCCAGATAACCGATTATCTCTTGCTTGGTTAGAACGTTTTACAAAATCGGGATGCTTACGCTTATTTATGAATTCAGCTCGAACAGTGTCAGTCATGAAACTAACTTGCTTATGGAGAGCCATTTTGTAAACTTGGTTCAATGTGCCCCTAAGTCGGTCCCCAGCTTTTTTGTCAAATTCTTTCCTAGCCTTAGCGTCGAACTCAGGTCTCCAAGTATATGTACGCTGCATTAGAATTAACATGTAAAGTTTATAATTTAACTCAAAATAGCATATTATACATAAATCATTTTATTTCTAATTTACAACCTGATATGGCTGCAGGAGTGCAGGATATTACACAATAGCACATTATAGTAAGCCAAAGCTCAATTAACTACCAAAATTTAACGATCTATCTCATTAAGTTACACTAAAATATTGGCATGACGAAAACCATGGGCAACTCGTGAATCAATAATCTAGTGTCATTTGTTTGCACTATGCTAAAAGAGGAAGAGGACAAGAGTAGTCTCTGGTGGGATTAGAAGTGCTGCTGCTGTGGGTCGTGGCTGTTGGAGGTGTCGTGCTGCTGGCACTGTGCGCATCAACACTGATGCAGCGGTGTTGGAAGGGTGGGGTGTGAGCTTAGGGGCTGTGATTAGGGACTCTAATGGCAGCATTATGGCTGTGATGGTTCATAGTGTGAGTGCTCAGGTCCGTGTGGCTATGACAGAGGCTTTAACTGATCAACACGTGCATGATTCATTGATTCTCCACAAGATTCATATCTATCGTATGTGATTTTCTGCATTAACCATAACAACAATAATCATGAAGTAACCTAAACATACATATTTTTTTCTCCAGAAATTAGTGTTATACTGCATATAGGTCAATGAGAAAAGTGCAACATAAAGGAGAAAAGGCAAGAAGTATCTCAATAATCAATATCCAATGAATAAGAGAAAAATCAAAGCTCCGGGTATGCAGGGCACAACTACACAATCAGTGAGAAACATATGCAGAAATTGACCAAAAAACACCCACCACAGTGATTTACGATAATTCACTTCACTCTCAGGTGGTTGAGTCTGGAGGAAATACTTATAAAGAAGAGGCACACTATTTATGAAATCCTGTAATACCAATAGTAAGATGGACAGCTATTTTGGAGCAAGAAAAACAAGTTATATGTAGTAAAATGAGAGATACTAGGGAAAGAATGGATAAATTAAGAAAAATGCACATACAAACACTTCTTCTTAGAGCAGTAAACAAATTCAACTTCCCTCCGCTGGGAGGTTGAAAAAGAAACGAATGGTATCAAAGCTATAAAAGCTTTGTATAACAGGCATTTTTCTCAATAGTTTCAACTATCTATAGAAGAAAAACTGACCAATAGCCACCTTTGGACAGATTCACAAACTGAATAGCAGAACCCCAAACCTTTTTTTTCTTCTTTTTTTCAAATAAACTGAATTGGTACAACAGGAGATGGGAGAGGTCGGAGTGTGTTATGAACACACCAGTATACTCACTTACCACCCATCCTTTTCATGACAAGAGTTAGATGATGACTTCTTGGTAGTTAGCCTGGGTCCATCTTCTACAAACTGGAACAAACCCCAAAAAAAATTGAGAGAACAGGACACAAAACATCCACTATGGAGAGTGGTATGGGTGTTGTGGTGGGTTGTGATAGCTGTTCTGTTTTGGCAGCAGTAGAAGACAAATGCAATTAAGTGTGAGAGTCTTTGTGAGAGGGGAAGCTGAGTAAGTAGAATAGCAATGTAATTGAATGGCATGTTCTGTTACAGAAGGATCAAACCTAAGTCTTCTAGGACTAATAGAATTACGAAGTTCATTAAGTCAATTCACCAAACAGAAATTAGTAATTAATCAAGCTTTCCTCTAAATTCTTAGTTAATTTGAGCATAATTACATTGATAATTATCGGTCCTTGACAGATAGAGCAAAAGGAACAGCATACAAAACACAAAACACAGTATTAAGGCTAATATGATTTAAGAACAATGAATACAAGAGAATGTCTCAAATTCTAAACATACCTTAAAGTCAGTGAACCAACGATCCCTAACCATAAGTGGCACCTTAGTAAAATTCATGTATGGGTGGTTGTAGTGTGCCTTCCAAGATTTTGTGACATTTCCACTAACGGTATGGTCATCAAACCTGATGCAAGAAAGATTAAGCACAAGCATAAATAATGATAATAAGCTACTAAGACAACAAATATAATACATAGATTAATATAACTGACCATAGCCCATCTTGTGAGAGCTCAATCTTTCCTTGTTCTACTCCATTCAAATTTTGTGGTGCCACATCATTCTCAACAGCAACATCAGCATTAGAATTTACTTGCACAGGACCATTAGAAGGTGGTGGTGTCGGTCGTGTGACCACAGGATTGTCTTGATCAACCGATTGATTATTGGCTCGGACACCACCTTGATTACCTCCCCGACCAAATTTTGAATTTTTCATGAAGGATTTCATTTCCAAAGAACTAGAAAGATCAGAAGCACAATAATTATTTTATACATAATAACCCATAATAAAAAAAAAATTTAAAAAAAAGTAAGCTCACAAATATGATCAAGAAATTTTAAAACATTTATCATATACCAAACAAATAAGATAAACACATTGTCTATTAAACAAATAAGCCCATAACAAAGCAAACACATTGAAAACTACAGCTTAGAAATTATTCTTCTTCTTCATCCACATCATCATCATCCTCGTCATCGTCCTCGTCATCGCTGGCAGTGTATCCTAACTCTCCATCAACCTCTTCTTCAGATTCAGATTCAGTATCATCCCATTCATCTTCTTCATGTTGTTCTTTCTCTTCACCACCTGAGCCGTCCTCCTCCATTTCATCCATATCCTCGTACATAACACCATCATCATCATCCGACGAACAAAGGGTTGGGGTCTCAGCAATGTCTACTTGGAAAATTGACTCATCGATTGGGGCATCCACACTTGACCTAGCTTTAGTCTTAAAAACAACCCACCATTGACTCTTATCTTTCTTTAAGCTTGGATAAGAGGTAAAATACACTTGATAAACCTGATGTGCTAGAACAAAAGGATCATATGCAGGGTATTTCTTAGAGTGGTTCACATCAATACTGCTCATGAATATTCATGCCATTCACTGAATCCATCCAATTACATTTAAACATGAAGGTTTTGAAGACATTTACAGTCCCCAAGTAGACCAGCTCAATGACTTCTTCTAAAATGCCGAAGTAATCAATTTCCTCCTCACTTATTACACCCACACCATAATTCATAGTTGCCTTGTGCTTTCCATAATCAAAAGTGTGAAACTTAAAGCCATTGATGTCAAATTGCCTCCATGTTTTGACTTGTCTAGACGGACCCATGGCAAGTGCTCGAATCACTTCATCAGTCTCATTAGATTTGATAACCTAATTTCAAATTCAAGCCATTAATTAATAAAATATATAACCTTATTCATATTTAGCGAATGATATGTCGAAACTTGATTGTAAAAACTTACAAAATCCTGAAACCATTTGGAAAATTCATGTGAAAACTTGCTCCAAATATCATGTAGGTCAATACCAGGATATTTTTGCATCATCGACTCTTCAAACTTCCTATAAACCTTAAAACGTTAATAATCTAGCAAATTGCATAAAATAACTACCAATTATAGAAATTTGTACCTTTCATATTCTCCTAATACCCCACAATTGGAAAGAACATAGTGGTGTGCATGCTTGAATTCTTTCGAACCTAAAAACCTTGTTTGGACACCTTTGCCACGACCTTTGCTAAATTGGAATAATTTTGGTATAGTTGAATCTAGATCATCATCATCAACAACATTGCGTCCTAGATCTCTAGATTTCGTATCAACATGAGGTTGAAAGTAATAAGAACAAAAGTTAGAAATCTCTTCTGCAAGATAAGCCTTGCAAATTGAGCCTTCCACTCGTGCCTTACTACCAATTTTCTTCTTCAGATGATTAAGAAATCTACAAAATATGTTAAATTGACTCATTCACATGTAAAATTATAAATCATATAGAAGAAACTTGAAAACAATGGAGTGGCTTGGGAAAATGTATATTACCTCTCAAATGGATACATCCATCTATATTGCACAGGACCACCCACTTTTACTTCATGTGGCAAATGAACGGGTAAATGCTCCATTGAATTGAAAAATGCAGGTGGGAATATTTTCTCCAACTTGCATAAGATTTCTGGAATGTTTTTTTCTAAACGAGTCACATCATCAACTTTAATAGTGTAAGAACATAGATCGCGAAAAAATTGGCTGATTTCAGTGACTGCTTTCCAAACATTATCAGGAAGAAGTTCTCTCATTGCAACGGGCAACAACCTTTCCATGAACACATGACAATGGCTTTTCATTCCATGTATCTTACAGGCTTGCAAATCCACACATCTACCAAAATCAGAAGCATATCCATCTGGAAACTTAAGATCTTTTATCCATTCACACAACACTCTACGTTATGCTTTATCAAGAGTGTATGGTGCTTTTGGGAAGATCAAGCTCCCATCATTAGATTCAATAGGCTTTAAGCTACTCCGCTTACAATATCGCTGAACATCTAGGCGAGCCTTATCTGTATCAACTGCGGTATATTTCACATTCATTATTGTGTGGATGAGTTGATCAAAAAAATTCTTTTTAATGTGCATAACATCTAAATTATGTTGAATCAACAAATCTTTCCAATAAGGAAGCTCCCAAAAGATGCTTTGCTTATGCCACCCTGTCTTGACCTTTTTTGATTTTGTCGAACGAATTTTTGGATCAATGGACTTTGGAATCTCCTTAACCTGCTCCCATAGTTGATGGCCCGTCAATATTGGAGGAGGCAATCGAGTTTCTGCTCTTTTTTTGGAAAAAGCAGTACGGTTTTTTCTATAAGGATGTGTAGGTGGGAGAAATTGACGGTGACTATCAAACCATGATACTTTAGAGCCGTTGTCTAGCCAAAAAGATCTATGCTTGTCCATGCAGTATGGACAAGCCATCTTTCCCGATGTAGTCCAACCAGATAACATCCCAAACGCAGGAAAATCACTAACCGTCCATAAAAGGGCAGCTCGTAACTTGAAATTTTGCTTTGTGGATACATCATATGTCATTGTACCTACTTCCCATAAAGATTTCAATTTGTCAATCAAGGGTTGCATGTACACATCCAAGTTCCCTTTTGGGTTTTTAGGACCCGGAATGAGCAAGGATAAAAACATAAACGGCTTCTTCATACATAACCATGGAGGCAAGTTATATGGGGTAACAATTACTGGCCAACAAGAATATTGCCTTCCAAATTTTCCATGTGCTGAGAAACCATCTGTGCATGGACCCAATCTAACATTACGGGGCTCACTTGCAAAATCCTTGTATGTGTTATCAAGATGTTTCCATGCTTCACTATCACTTGGATGGGCGAGTGTTCCACTTACCCTAGGATTTTTTGAATGCCACTGCATTTCATGTGCAAGGTCTTTGGTCGCATTGCAACCTTGGCGCGATCGGGAAGTAGAATAACACTTTGGCCGGCACACATTTTCCACGAGAAGTGTTCTTATAACGCTCTCCCACGCATTTCGAACACTTTTCAAGGTGAGCTTTATCCTTCCAAAATAACATGCATCCTTTAGGGCATGCATGTATCTTCTCATGAGGAAGTTCAAGGCCCTTTACCACCTTTTTAGTGTCATAGTACGTCATGGACATTGAATTCTCATCAGGAATTACTTCACTAATGAGCGATGAAATACTATAGACACATCTATGGGGCAAGTTGTATTCACACTTCAAGCTCGTAATCCTTGAAGCCATCTCTAAAACAGATAATCGAGTTCCTTCATACAATGGTTTTTGTGCGGCTGCTAACATCTCAAAAAACTTCTTAACTTGAGGATTAGGTTCTTCTTACACATTCCGAATATCTTCATGCATTGGATCACCATCAACTTGACCAAATGCATCAATAATCATGTCAACATACGGATCCGACGGCTCATCTGATGCTTTTAAAGAATCAAAATCCTCTCCATGACAAACCCATTCATAGTAGTCATTAAGAAATCCTTTTTTATACAAATGCTCTCTTACACTTTCAACATCTAAAAAAGGAACATTTTTACACTTTGAACAAGGACATCTGATCTTTGAAGATTCTTGAAAATCACGGTGTTGTTTAGCAAACTCAATAAACTCTTTCACGCCAATTGTGAACTCTTTTTTTAGTAGTCGACCTTCTAATCTCTCATACATCCATTTTCGATTCAATTTCTCCATGATCCTAACTGCTAAACGACATTAATAATCATACACATATATGTAATATAGTCTTCTTATATATGTAATTTATTCTTATTATATATGTTACTTAGTTATTTAGGCAATTACTTAGAAGACAAAAGAAAGATAAGCAAGAAAAGGTGCAGCAGTTAAGTCATATAGTGTATACACAATCCTTTTTCTTTATTTTTGAAACAATGGAAACAAAAGTGTTCAATATTCATTTGGTGGGACAACATAAATACAGAGAAACCAAAAAAAGAAACTTAATAGGAACAAAAAAATATAAAAAAAAAACATAATACATCAGTGTTGTATCTGACAAGCGCACTTTAGGGCGCGCTTTAGAGCATATTTTAGGATGATTTTGGATGTATTTGGGGCCGCTTTGGCCGATTATTACCTTGTTATGCTTACGTTCCCCATATAACGTGCTTCACGGGTTTTCGGTTTGTTTTTGATGTGTTTTCAGGTAATATCAACCGAGTTTAATCGGATCCTGAGCCCTTGATGCGTAACCGAGCTAGCCTTGACCGGAGTCCGAGGAGTTAAGGAAGTTCAAGTGTCGTGCATTGATTACATAGCACAGGCAGCACGGTCGTGCAAGCCAATAGCACGGCCGTGTCAGTATCCACGCACCCGCACGGCCGTGCAGGCAATTAGCACGGTCGTGCCAGATGTTCCCCGTGCCCGTGTCAGCTTCAGTATGAGCCCCGTGCTAGAGCATATTCAGCACGGCCGTGTCATTTTTTAGCACGGCCGTGCCAGGAAGCTGCACGGCCGTGCCATATATAGCACGGCCGTGCCAATTTGAAGAAGAAATCTGGTTTACTTACTGACAAGCTAGCACGGCCGTGCCAAATACAGCACGGCCGTGCTGATCCAGGGTTAACTGCGCGCTTGACTTCTCCGCATTAGAAGACGTATATAAGGCCCAACTTTAAGAGGATTCCTCAGACTGTTTTTTTAGAGATAGTTTTGAGAGCCTTTGTAGAGAGTTATTGGAGAACGTTCTTAGTATTAGAGATTCATTAGTTTTCTTAGAGATATTTCTAGAGATTTTAGTTTTCTTGGATTGATTTGAAGCAAGATTTGCGAAGATTCTTTGTATTATTCATTGACGACGGATATCAAAGTTCTGAACTTTTCCATGATTCGCATCAATACAATTGGTATTATTCATTCTTGTTTATTAATCAAGCTTTATTCCTTAATCAGAATTCATGTTTATATCTATTATGCTTTTGGAATTCATTATTGCTTTGATTATGAATATGTGTGAGTAGTCTCCTAGCTAGGGTTTCGGGATGAAACCCGGCCTAGGTAATCTATGTAATTGAGGATTGATTTTGATAAACGGATTGTGATTAAATTGATTATATGCGATTGCATGTTAATTCATTATAATAGGAGTAGCTAACCTAGAATCTTGAATTTGATTGCATGATATTCTTGATTTGAACAAGAGATTGTGAATTGAGTATTTCATTATTGAATGTGGTTTGATTATGTATCGAGTAATGTTAAGTGCATGAGAAATCCAAGCTTAGTATTGCCCGTTGTCTTCCTATCACATGATATTGATCAGACTTATAGTCTTTGCATATCCCGTTTGTCTCTGTGATTCCTTGTTGCTTAGTTACCAATGGTAAGGCGGATTCCCGTTCTCCCTAGTGTCTTAGTTTATTGATTTATTCCATCTTATTAGTAGTATTTTAGAACACCATTTTCCATTGATTTCGAACTAGCTTAGGTTTAAGATTGATTTATAATTACTCTCGTTCCTCGTGGACCGAACCTTTATTTGCCATTGTACTTGGTTATAGGGTGTTCGTATAAGTATTGTTTGATTGAGAGTTAGATTGTAGCGACCGATTTAACCCTCGTCAAAATGGCGCCGTTGCCGGGGAACGGTGTTTGTTAATTTCTTTTTGATTTCTTGAGTCTAGTTCATCATAAAAAAGCACAAAAAGATTTTTCCCTTTTGGCTACACTTTTAGCCCTGCTATTTAATTGGTTTGGTTAGTGTGTATGCGCAGGTCTAAACAGAGAGAATTAATACCCTTCGATCCAGAAATCGAAAGAACTTTGAAGAGCAATCGTAAATCTCGATTGACGTCATCAAACTCTCAAGGAAAGGAACACAACACACAACAGGTTCCAATGGAAGACATACCGCGCCAACCCAATCGGCCAGCACCACAACCCCTTAAGGAGTTGGGAACTCCTGGGGCGTATAGAGCTTCAAGTGGGATTGCTCCACCCACTACTGAGGCCAATGATTTCGAGATCCGGCCGGCTATGATCACCCTCATCGAGAGAAGGCAGTTTAGTGGTGCCAAGCATGAGAGCCCTTTGGCTCATTTGAACGAATTTGAGAAGTACTGCAATACCATCAAGGTTAATGGGGTGAATCAAGCGTTCGTGAGATTGAAGCTTTTCCCCTTTTCACTTATTGGGAGAGCTCTCGAATGGTTAGAGAAGGAGGTGAAGCTGAACTCTCTACACACTTGAGATGATGTCACGACAGCATTCTTGGGAAGATTTTATTCCCAAAAGAAGACAGCCGATGCTAGAGCTTTGATCCAGGGATTTCGGCAAAGGAGTGGGGAGTCAATCTACGAAGCATGGGAAAGGTACAAGGAGTATCAAAGAGAGTTCCCACACCACGGAATCCCAACATATCAAGTTTTACAGATTTTCTATGGAGGATTGAGTCCTCAAGGGAAGACCAGTTTGGATGCGGGAGCAGGTGGCCCCATTATGAACAAAACCGAAGAAGAAGTCATTGATATCATAGAAGATGTGGTACGACACCACATGGATTGGCAAGATGGAGAGAGAGAGGCCACGAGCAAGAGTGGAGGAGCGGTCTATTCGGTAGACCATCTTAATGCAATCGGGAATTTGACATCGCAAATTGTTAATCTGGGTAAGGAAATGTCAATTATCAAAGAGAAGCTCAACGCTCCACCGCATCAAAATCTTCCATCCTATTCTAAGGGAGCAGGTATGCACTCTAACTCTAATAATATGCCTGCTGGATGTATATTCTGTGAAAACTGTGGGTCTTATGACCATGATA